CAAGCCAGGCTTCAGGAATACTTGAACCATGACCTTCCAGATGCTCAAGCTGGTTTTAGAAAAGGCAGAGGAACCAGAGATCAAGTTGCCAACATCTGCTGGATCATCGAAAAAGCAAGAGAGTTCCAGAGAAACATCTACTTCTGCTTAATTGACTATGCCAAAGCCTTTGACTGTGTGGATCACAATAAACTGTGGAAAGTTCTGAAAGAGATGGGAATACCAGACCACCTGACCTGCCTCTTGAAAAATCTGTATGTAGGTCAGGAAGCAACAGTTAGAACTGGACATGGTTAGAACTGGACAACAGACTGGTTCCAAATTGGAAAAGGAGTATGTCAAGGCTGTATATTGTCACCCTACTTATTTAACTTATATGCAGAGTACATCATGAGAAACAATAGGCTGGAAGAAGCACAAGCTGGAATCCAGACTGCCTGGAGAAATATCAATGACCTCAGATATGCAGATGACACCACCCTTATGGCAGAAAGTGAAGAAGAACTAAAGAGCCTCTTGATGAAAGTGAAAGGGGAAAGTGAAAAAGTTGGCTTAAAGCTCAACATTCAGAAAACCAAGATCATGGCATCTGGTCCCATCACTTCCTGGCAAACAAATGGGGAAGCAGTGCAAACAGTGGTAGTCTTTATTTTGGGGGGCTCCAAAATCACTGCAGATGGAGACTGCAGCCATGAAATTAAAAGACGCTTACTCCTTGGAAGAAAAGTTATGACCAACCTTAGACAGCATATTAAAAAACAGAGACATTACTTTGCCAACAAAGGTCCGTCTAGTTAAGGCTATGGTTTTTCCAGTAGTCATGTATGGATGTGAGAATTGAACTATACAGAAAGCTGAGCGCCGAAGAATTGATGCTTTTGAACTGTGGTGTTGGATAAGACTCCTCAGAGTCCCGTGGGCTGCAAGGAGATCCAACCAGTTCATCCTAAAGGATATCAGTCCTGAATATTCATTCAAAGGACTGATGTTGAAGCTGAAACTTCAATACTTTGGCCACCTGATAGGAAGAGCTGACTCACTGGAAAAAACCCTGATGCCGGGAAAGACTGAAGGCAGGAGGAGAAGGGGATGACAGAGGATGAGATGGTTGGATGGCATCACCGACTCAAAGGACATGAGTTTGAGTAAACTCCAGGAGTCGGTGATGGACAGGGAGGCCTGTCGTGCTGCCTCCATGGGTCTCAAAGAGTCAGACACAACTGAGCAAGTGAACTGAACTGAACTGATGAGACCAGATCCCATGATCTTAGTTTTTAGAATGTTGAGTTTTAAGCCAGTGTTTTCACTCTGCTCTTTCAGCTTCATCAAGTGACTCTTTAGTTCCTCTTTGCTTTCTGCCATAAGGGTGGTGTCACCTGCATATCTGAGGTTATTGCTATTCCTCCCAACAATCTTGATTCCAGCTTGTGCTTCATCCAGCCCAGCATTTCTCATGATGTACTCTACATATAAGTTAAATAAGCACGGTGACAATATACAGCCTTGATGTACTCCTTTCCCAATCTGGAACCAGTGTGTTTTTCCATATCTGGTTCTAACTGTTGCTTCTTGACCTGCATACAGATTTCTCAAGAGGCAGGTAAGGTGGCCTGGTATTCCCATATTTTTAAGAATTTTTGACAGTTATTGTTTCCACAGCTTACTGGCTAAAACAATACAAATTTTTTGCTTCATAGTAATAATTCTGAAGTGTGAAGGGAGAAGTATGAAAGGAGCTAAATCAAGGTGTGGGCAGGGCTGCATTCCCTTGGAGGCTTTAGGGAAGGATTTGTCTTCTGACCCTTTCCAGCTTCTGGAAGCCACCCACAATGGGATGAACAAGGAAAGCATGGCCCGCTTCCTCCATCTTTAAAGCCAGCAACGTGGCATCTCTGTGCCTTTCTTCCGTAGTCACCTCTGCTCTGCCACCTCCCTCTTCCACTTTTAAGGTCCTTGTGATGACATTGGGTCCAGCCAAATAATCTGGGAGAGTCTCCTTATTTTAAGGTCAGCTGATTAGAAATCTTCATTCCATTTGCAGCTTTATTTCCCCTTTGCCATGTAACCTAGCATATTCCCAGGTTCTGGGGATTAGGACGGGGACAGCTTTGGAGGCCATTATTCTGCCTGACACAGCAACTGAAAATAAAAGTGAGAGAATTGGCAAAAGCTCTTTATCCCTCTGGAGTTCTCTCATCACACTGGGAGTCTTGTCATCTCTCTTACTTGACACAACCACATTTGTCACAAGAGTTAAAGATGCGGTATCTGAACTATATAATAATTTATAGGTTTATGTTATCTTGGAAAAGAGACAAGGAATTTACCCGAGTTTCCTTATCTGTAATGGGAGAGGGTTGAAGTAGAAGGTTTCTCAAAACTCCTGTGGTGTTTCTAGTCTCACCTTTGACATATCCATGACTTCGTAGATTGTATTCCAAAGTATGATGTTAAATTGCCACTGGCCATGTCTGCTGAACTCCTCAAGGCCACAGCATCCATGCTGACAGTTTCCTGGTTAAGTCACTATTGTATTTAATATATGCTGCCCACATCGATGAGGTCATTTCACCTAAGGTGTCAACATGTGTACTTTGTGGATGTACAAAACATAAGAATAAATCTGACTTTTTGAAAAGTTGACTCCTAACTTCTGCTCTGCTGATGGCAGTGTGCCTTGCATTGTATCTTGCTCGTGTGGAATGATCTGTTGCTTGTGGCAGAATTTGTTTTTGCTGTTACAAGCTTTGGAAGTCCTCATACCTTGTAATTTTAAAATAACTTCTGCTTACACAGTAACTTACAGTTTACATAATATTTTCCTATCAGTTGTTCCATATGATCCTCTGTAACAGTGCCCTGAGATTGTTAATATACAGTTCTGTAATATGGGTGTAATTGCAGGGTTAACAGAGTGAACAGTTTTATCATAATCCTGAATAGACACTTCATATGCTCCTTGATGAGGGTAACAAAGGTACTGAGTAATTTGTTGGAAAACTGAGCTCAAGTAATTGACTGAAACACAGACTTACTCACATGCTGCATATGTGGCAAGAATGTGATCAGACATCCTTTAGATTTTAAATTGGACATCATTTTAATGAGCCATCTCACACTGCCTTTTATCTTTACTTTTGAAAGGAAATGCATTCGTAGAATGCTCTCAGGCACTTTTCTTAATCATACTTTATTCTCTAGGCATTTTCCTGCCTTCTTATAGTCTTGATAGATGATATTCACAATACATGTTCCTAAACATTTATCGGAGTATAGACAGAATTATACATATGCAAAATCCGAAGAGTTACATTATTGCAACTGCACATCAAGGTGGCATTGTTTGTAGCTGTCTATATTAACTTTCATATGTGGAAGAGTTCCCCAGATTATTTTAGAAATTAATAATTTTTCAAAAATAATTCAAACAGCCCACTTGTCCTTCTGCCTTTTTAGTTCTTAAGTTCATCTGCATAAAGCAAAAGGGAGACTTTTAGATGAATTGTAAACTCATTTAATTTCCAGACGTTGTCTAGTGTTTAAACACTAACATCAAAGCAAAGAGCCAATTATCAGAGTTCATTTGATCTGAAGCCCTGTTGCCTGAATTGCTATAGTTTTCCTTATGCTGAAAAGGATATCTGTCACATCTCGAAGATGTAGTATTTAAAATCACTTTATCTACAGCAGTTTAACTTGAAACATGTGTTTGGGCTCACTAACCACAAGGAGGCATTGAAGCATCTCTTCAAAATGTGAAAAGCAATTTTATTATTTTTTTAAAAGTTACACCTACAGTTGCTGAATTTCATATAAACAATTATGCATATTTGTGAGTATGCATGCCTTTTAAGTTCGTGTTTTGATCCACTTTTTAATTTTAACCCCTGAAGTAGCAGAAATTTTTCCTGCTGTAGAAGATTTTGGGACAATAATTCACACATTTCCAGTGGTCATGTATGGATGTGAGAGTTGGACTGTGAAGAAAACTGAGCGCCAAAAAATTGATGGTTTTGAACTGTGGTGTTGGAGAAGACTCTTGAGAGTCCCTTGGACTGCAGGGAGATCCAACCAGTCCATCCTAAAGGAGATCAGTCCTGGGTGTTCACTGGAAGGACTGATGCTGAAGCTGAAACTCCAATACTTTGGCCACCTCATGCCAAGAGTTGACTCATTGGAAAAGACCCTGATGCTGGGAGGGATTGGGGGCAGGAGGAGAAGGGGATGACAGAGGATGAGATGGCTGGATGGCATCACCGACTCGATGGGCATGAGTTTGAGTAAACTCTGGGAGTTGGTGATGGACAGGGAGGCCTGGCGTGCTGCGATTCATGGGGTGGCAAAGAGTCAGACACGACTGAGCGACTGAACTGAACTGAACTGAATTCACACGTATTTTCCTTCTGCCATTCCAATGGACACGAAAGAAATGGTGGGGCTTTCATTAGTACTGACAAAGTACCTACATTAACCTTTACTGCCCTTTAAAGTTCTTTTGACTGTGTGAGCAGAAGCATATTTCTTTAGTATTTAGAGTTATTTAAATACATAGTTGCAACAGCAAGGGTTTTGTCTGAAATTTGAGTATCAGTTGAGAATGATTCCAGGACATACTTCAAAATGTCACATTAGATGCATGGGATGAAAAGGGAAAATATTTTTAAAATCTGAACATAATGTTCTTACATGCTCTTTTGAACATACATGTTAAATTTCCAAAATTTTCCCATGTTTCTGTGATCCTGATTCCCAGCAGCTTTGTTGGTATTGAAAAATATGAACCTCTCTGCTGCAGAATATGCTGCCTAGCACATCTTCCAGAGTAATGCTTAATCCCTTGAGGAGCAAGGATCTCATTCTTAAGAGTTGGATTGTTTCTGCAAGATGCTTCAGAGACAATTCTTTTCTGGAAATGTGGACCATGACACTGAAATCCTCATGTGCCATTTTACCATGCTGACTTGCTCTTTCTGAGTTTTGACATCTGGTTTGCCTTTTAGGATATTCCCAGCCTGTGCGACAAAATATTGCCGATTTCAACACACAGCAGAACACACAGCTGGGGAGGCTGTGTGACATCTTAGGTATAGTAAATACTTTTACACAATTGGCTCTTCAGGATGTTTATCAATGAATGTTGATTAAATGTTTTTGTTTTCACTCTACAAAGAAAAGGCTTGTACTTTTCTTTGAAAAGTACTTCTACTTGTAGGGCAATTGAATGTTTCATTTTAAAGAACATATTTATGGTGAAGTCAACTTGAATAAATGAGTGACATTTTAACCAATTTACTTGGGTAATTTTCTAATTCTCTTTGCTGCAGGATTGAATAAGGATTTCTCTCCTATAGCCCCAACTCTTCTTCATTTACTGAATCTGGCAGTGAAGAAAGTCAACATTTTATATCTATGTCAATATTGTCTATTATATTATGAGGAATGAGTGGAAGGTATCAGAACTGTGGTTTTGCACATTGTGTTTTCATTATAAAAATAAGAGGGGAATGAAGATAGATTTAAAAGAAGCTTCTATTTAAATATATATCATCTAGTTATGAGAAAACAGAAAGTGCCTAGTGAAGGGAATTCTTAGAAACACAGACCTTGAGTGATAGACACATCTTTGTAAAAGTCGAGTTCTAATACTGGTTTGGTCAGTTTTAAATCAGACACCAACCTGGGGCCTGGAAAGAAGGATACAAGAATTCTGTGGCTTTGTTTGACACTGTTTGAGATGAAGTTTAATGAATAAAGGTTTCAAAGCCTAAGCAATAATATTGAATCAGTATGGGAGATCCTGGCCAGAAATTCAGGGTTAAACAAAAACTAACCTTTTTTTAAAAATAAGTTTTCAAGTAAGAACTTCTTAGTATTATTAAAATATAATTGCTTTGGCCCTTATTTAAGCAAAACAAGGAAGAATTTTAAATTGTCAATGACCAACTTAGCTGGCTCCCTGGAATGACATACTTTACATGATTCATATATATTTCAGCATCATTATTATTTTATAAATGCCATTTGGTAACAAAAATGCATCAGTACTAGAAATTTACAATATCCTAAAATAATAATAGGGTAATTGCTTTAATCTATTATCTAGGCACTAATATTGTTTTTCAGCCTTACAAAAATTATTTTAATGACTTAAGATTGATTTGTTAGTGCTGAGCTATTCCAACTAAAAACCTGATGGTGGAAACCATTGAAGTGCAGCAGAGGGCAGACTTTGCTCTAATTTATTTGATTAATTTTTTTCTTTAGCTTTTTATATACCCTTCTGTATATTTATAGTCCAAACCATCACCAAAGAATTTCTTTATAAAGGATTCTCTTTATTAGAGAAAACTTAAATGTATTAGGCTTCTATTTTAAATAACTCAATAATTCAGTCTATGTCTACCTGCAATGGAAAATTTTGCTAATATGAACCTTTCTGAGAGATTAAGAACCAAATGCCTTTTCTTTGTATACCATCTTCATGACATAACAATGCAATCCTAAAACCCCTTCAAGAGAAATAAAAGTCTAGAGATAAATGAGAAGATAGGAAAAGTACTTGCTTATGAAGTAAAAATATAAAGAAACAAGGAAAATAAGTGGTAATTTGTGGAAGAATAAATGATTTCATTTTTTAAATTCTGTTAATTCCTAGTAAAGGGTGTTGATTTTTCTGCTTATTCAGGGGAAACAAAAGTAATCTGATCACACATTAAGACTTGTTCAGATAGTGGCTGTAAAGTCAGGGTATCAGGTGGGGAGACCTCAGTGGCTAATATTTTCAACTTCTAGATGAGTTTAAGCAAGAGGGTGACTGATACTATTGACTAGCAATCAAAACAATTTCATCTTCTCATTAATTCCTTTCCAAAATCACCAGTTAATTTTGAACATTTGTTGATCCACAGTCAAACTGGATAATACTGGATATTACTGTTAGTGATATAATATTCATTTGCCCAAAATGAGCAGGAAAGTTAAAATTAACAACATGATTTCTTATTATTTGTAACCCAGAAATTTCTTCCCAAGAAAAATTTAGTTTTCTTCTGCTATGGAATCTTTATTATTTTTGTTGTTTGTTTTTGTGTCCTTTTTTAATACTTAAAAACTCCCACTAGTTTGGTTTTAAAAACCACTAGTGTGATAAGATACTAGACATATAGTGAAAACACAAGATTTGTGATAACTAATTTGATCATTCAACAGTTGAACACAAGTTTTGTCACTGCTGTCTCCTCAGTTAGTTTATTTTGAGGCTCATGTGGCAATGTGCTTTCGACATTAAGTAGGAGCCCCTTAAGTATTTACATTTATGGAGCACTTACTGTGGGCCCACCACTGGTCCAGTTCAGAAGACACTGCTTCTAGCCACAAGATGCTCTTCTCCAGAGCAGATTTCTCCTGCATGCTGTGGATCTCACTATTGTGTATGACTTTCAACTTCCTGAATCTCTCCATTCTCCCAGATCCCTTTGGTCAACTCACAAATATTTATTGAGTGACTCCTGCACACTTGACATTGTACCAGGGCATGGGGGAGTTTTTTGAAAAGCATACACCGTACCTTTAAAGAGTTTGGAGAGACAAGATCAAAGGATTTGAAATAACAAGATGGAACAGCAGAGGACACTACTTCATCGTGTTAAATCTTCAGGCACTGATTAAAAGGAGCGCAAGTGTGGAGGGTGAGGTGTAGAATCACTGTTAGTTGGCCTAGTCAGGGTGGACGTAGGGGTAGACTGGTTCATCTGTTAGTGGTTGGTTCATCAAGTTAGTTGAGCACTTATTATGTGCTGGATACTGCACCAGGTGCATTGTGTGTGTGTATGTGTGTGTGTGTGTATTCTTTCATTTCATACTCTCCCAAACTCTGTGCCCTGGGTGATTTTATTCTCTGCCTCCAAGGGAAGAAACCAATGCTGAGAAAGATTAAATAACGTACCCTGGCTTGTATGCAGCTGAGCAAGAATTTAATCAGTCTATGCTCTGTATACGCTGCCAAACTGAACAGAGGAGTCTTAACATCCTCCCCTCTCCACCCTGCTTGATGAAGGGAACACTTTACAGTGCTTCCTCCTCTGACCTTTCACGAGCACCTGTTCTGCATGTGCCATGTATCTACCACCCTCCACCATGTTTCAGGGCTGTCTGTACATGTGGAATGGTGGCTTCTCACAGGCAACATCTCAGTTGCTTTGATTCCTGTGTTTCCTTTCATGTCTAGCAAAGTGCTTTGTCCCTAGTGATCAGTCAATTATTTTACAAATGAATGAGTGACTCCATTGGCTGCTGATTTCCTGTCCATACTCCCTAAAATATTCTGCAGCCCAGAGTGGGTAATCTCATCTCACTATTCCATTTGGATGGGAAATTTAATTAGGATTTCTTTCTATGCACATAATAAGAAGCACATCTTAAGAAGGAGAACAGTTAAATTAAGATAGTGTTTCCTTTAAACCAAGAATCACTAGATGGCCTATTTAAATAATATACTCCTCTTTGGGAATGAAGAAAGGAAAAGGTTGCTTTCCTGAAATAATCATTGCTATGGTTATAACCAGACCATTTATTTGGATAGAACATTCCCAAGTCCAGGCAGAATAAGAAATTGCAATTTCATCAGCTTTCTAAAGTTAATAGCTTAGTTTTATAATTTACTAAAGTTAATGGGATAAATTTTAAAAGCAGTATGCAGTTCCCATTGAGGTTAATGGGAGTTTGGGGGCTAAATCCCTATGTATTTATTTGAAAGTACAATTCCATGGTACCTCTTAGTTCTCCTTCTGAAGGAATCATTGTGTCTACTTTTTGGTAATGGTGCTATCTTTTTTTTAGAGAAATGCAAAAGTTTAAAAAGTTCAGTTGAATTGCTAGGATCTGTGCAAAACCAATCTAAATTAACTTGAATGTGGCTTTTGGATATGCTCTTTATTTTAAACTGCACAGCATCAATCTGATGCCAGAGTTCATAATGTCATTTACCTTTATACCAGTAATTAACATTGCGCCTGTTGTTTTTAGATGCCAAAGTGAGCGTCATCTACATCTGCTCCCATCGAATGAATGACGAGCTACTGCTGTATTACAACAAAATCCTGAGTCTACAGGCAGCTGTCAAATCGGGGAACCTTGAGGACAGAAGTGACCTGCGGGACAGGTTCAAAATTATCACCCCTGAAGCTATAAACATCTTCACTGTGAGTTTCTCTTCTAATTACTATGGCTTCAGGGATGCAGTAAAATTAAATTGGAAATTTTATAACTTGCAACGCTCTGGTACACATCAGTGAAATATTATTGCAAGTTTAACAGCTTTACTGATTAGACTACTAGTTGGACTGTAGGAAATAAATATCCCAGTTTAACTTGCACACTTAACTGAGCTACTGCTGCCCAGTTTCTCTGTAGCTGAAGCCTAATTGTAGTTATTGGGTTGTACCATCAAGTAGGTGAATTTATAACATCGACGGTTGCTTTTTCTTAATTTTGTGTGGAGAACACCAAGGCAGAGAAAGGCTGCAGCCTGCCTGTGGTCACAAGCCTAGTTAGGGACAGCCTTTAGATCAAGGCCTCTGTTCTCTGATTTCCAAACTAGTATTCCTTGTTACAGGTTCAGTGGTAAAGAATCTGCCTGCCAAGCAGGAGACACAAGTTTGACCTCTGGGTCGGGAAGATCCCCTGAAGAAGGAAATGACAAGCCATTCCAGTATTCTTGGCTGGGAAATCCCATGGACAGAGGATCCTGGTGGGCTAGAGTCCATGGGGTCGCAAAAGAGTTGGACACAACTTAGTGATTAAACAACAAGAACAAATTCTTGTGATTCTATGGGTTTTTTCCCTCCAGGGGAATTTGGTCTTATATACCGTATCACATGGTTCATCATGAACGAGGTTCAGATTTTTTTTTTTTTACTTTTTTTAGAAACTGATTTTTAATGAGTGGAATGCATTCAGAGTGGAATCTTATCCCTAGACAAGAACTTTTGGGAAATTCATGGAAACACGATGGCAGCGTTTTTAAGAATAAGGCAGTGCAAGAGATGGCATGAAATGAATTTCTCCATGTTTTAGCAAGAATGTAAGCTTTCCATGGTAAACAACCAACATTTTAATACCTAATAGGCTATACACTTTTGAGGAGTGTCTGAATTTGCTGATGAAGATAACTTTCTTCATTCACAAGTGCGATGCACCCAAACCAACTCTTGATCATCAGAAAAACGAATTGCATGGTTCATGTAGGAAGTAGTATCAATGTGTTGAGATACTACCCACTGACACTTCAGATGCATGATTTGGCCAAAATCCTGGGGAGAGGACAGTGGGATCGAGGGATGCTCTAGCAGTTCTACTTTGCTGGTGTACTCAGTGAATTTTACTCTTCTACCAAATGGCCACCTGGTGCGAAGAACTGACTTACTGGCAAAGATCCTGATGCTGGGGAAGATTGAAGGCAAAAGGAGAAGAGGGTGGCAGAGGGTGAGATGGTAGGATGGCATCACTGACTCAATGGACATGAATTTGAGTAAATTCTGGGAGACAGTAAATGACCAGGAAACCTAATGTTCTGCAGTTCATGGGGGTCACAAACAGTCAGACATGACTTAGCAATACTGAACAACAACCACCACCAAAATGAGGATTTTGCTTTTTCATAACAGGATACCTCAATATTCCCATAAGAGCTCTCTGCCTAGCTCCACTTCACTGGCATCACTTGACTGTGGAAGAGGTAGCAAGGGCAGGAGCAGGACAAGCAAGAGAAAAAGGGGACAGATCTTTGCCACTTACTTATAATCTCAGAAACTTCCCCATATCTCCATCAATGCAAGGATTGCTTTGGTGCTTCCTAGTTATCCCCTGTCCTCAATGTCAGAGTTCCTGTGGCTATTGGGACGCAAGAAGGAAAAGAACTGCTATTAGTGTGTGGTTAATTTCCTGATTTTCTCCATCCAGAAACTGGAGCTAATGTCTGGTAGCTGCTAATAAGCAGTTTCCGTATATCTGGAATGCCAGTACACACTGAAGAAGCATGGAATGGGGAAGGGGCACTAGATTTGGGGAAAGGAAAGTGAGTAAACAGCTAACATTTATCAAATGCTTAGCAAACATTTTCTCGTTTGATGCTTAGGACACAGCAGCAAGACAGAAATGATCAATTTCCTCCTATGGCCGAGGAAACCAATACTCACTTTCTATTCCTAAGTTACTAGTGGGGCCAGAGTATGAACCCAAATCTGTCTGACACCAGAACACCATCGTGAACTGGAAAGACCTCCTTGCTTCTGGATGACCTGTGGTCTTGGGCAAGACCCTTTACCTCTCTGGTCCTTTGTTATTCATCTGTAAAATGAAATGATGGATTAGATCATGTCAAAGTCCTTTCCAGCTCGTGGTCCTATTACCTGAGAAATGTATCTTCACAGTCCACTCTTCACCTTCTAAGAGGAGATAGGTAGTTGGCACTAACAAATTCATGGGGTTACATTCATAGTGTAGGTTTGCATCTCTGTGAATAGAAACAAGTAGGAAATATTTTTAATTACTTAATACTTCTTACAGTTTAAAGTATTTGAGTAATTAATCACTCATAGGCAGTCACCTTTCTAAGATATAAAAATTAAAACTCTCACTTTCAAATCACTTCCTGCTCATGTTTAGTCATGGCTTTATTTCTTTTCAGTGGGTTTGAGAGACTGTATCAGTGCTGATTTTCATTCCAATGGATGGCTTTGAGACTTTTTTTAAATGTGCCAAAAACCTGTCTGTACATCTCTCCAAGTTACTATACAATTTTTGAATCTGTAGTGGTGAAAAATACTGTTACAAAGTCATCATGTCTACTTTTGAATATTTTGATGTTTATGAAGACTTCCTAAGCAACTATCTTTTGTCTCAGGTCAAAAAAAAAAATGCTGCTAAGTTAATTGTAACTATAATGTTTTGGAATTGCTTCCCAGGTGCATGTGTGCATGCTCAGTTGTCCAGTCTTGTTCAGCTCTTTACAACCTGATAAACTGTCACCCCTAAGGCTCCTCTGTCTGTGGAACTTTCTAGGCAAGAATACTGGAGGGTGTTGCTCCCCAGGTGGCTCAGTGGTAAAGAATCCGCCTGCCAAGCAGGATATGTGGGTTTGATCCCTAGGTCAGGAAGATTCCCTGGAGAGGAAAACAGCAACCCACTCTAGTATTCCTGCCTGGGAAGTCCTATTGCCTAAGGCGCCTGGTAGGCTACATGACCATGGGGTCGCAAAAGAGACACAACTGAGCAACTAAACAACATAATGTTATGGAATTAGGAACATTTTAGATTTTTGTCATCTGTATAAATCCACAGCCTGGATGATACTGATCTGGTGATACCGACTTTCTCTACATGGTCACACCAGACCTGCAGTCAGAAATGCTCTGCCATCATTTACACTTAAATCTTTATCAAACATACATTGAACACAATACCATGGGACCATCTTGCCTGAAGAATAAGGCATGCCTGCAGATGACATAATAGAGTTGGGTAGAGTACTTGCCAATAGCAACCCTAGAGGAGACAGAAATCCATCGTGGCCAGAAATGTGCTCAGAACTTTCATGTTAGGTTCTATTGCTGCATCTGCCATCCCCTCATCACACTTCATAAAACCTCAGGTCTGTAAAATGGGAGAAATCATGGCAGCTATGGCATGAGAACTGTGCTAATAATGAATAATAATAATAAATAAAATAATAATGAATAATAATCCTGCCTCTGCTGTGTACCAGCTATGTGACTATAGGCAAATCACCTGAGCCTGTTTCACAATCTGCAAAAGAGGGACTGTTAATTGTGTTGTATGGATCAAATGGAAGAGTACATGTCAAAGTGCTGAGACCTTGGGAACTTGACTTGAGAAGACTGTCCCATTTGAAACATTCCTCCAGGTCCCTCAAAAGCTCACCATATATTTTGTGACTCAAGTCATCAGTTTTCCCAGACATATCATTTATTCACATTTCCTCATTGGAATAATTTGTAAGGAGGGGAAGGCGTGAAATAATAAACAAGGGGATAAACAGTGAGCAATCAGATGGGAAACACAAACTCACGAGGTGCTGTCATCATTCATTGACCAGTGGAACACTGGATTTCCTAGAGCTGCATTCTTAAAGGCAGGTTTTGAAAATGGATTTAAATTATGTAGAAAAGGCATATTACATAGACAAAAGGAACTTAGATCACTTGCTCTAAAGGGAGGGTTCAATACGGTAAATCATAAAATCCTCTCTCAGAGGAATTTTTTTGGGGGATCTTTTTTTGAGGGGGGAGGCAGAATATACATACCATAAAATTTACCATTTAAATCATTCAAAGTGTACAGTTCCATGACATTAAGTGCATTCACATTGTTGTACAATCATTGTGTTATCCAGTTTCAAAACTTTTTCAAAATCCCAAGAAGGAACTCTATACCCAGTAAATAGTATATCCAGAAGAGCTTTGGTTTTAACGTTATATCACAGTCGGAAGGACCCTAGAGACTTCTAGTTCAACCCCTCATTGGAATGTGGGGACCAAGGCTCAGAAAGATCAGGTTTTCTAAATCAACTGGCAAGTTACAAATTCAGACAGGACTGAAATCCAGCGGATCTCCTCAGTCACTTTCTCTTATACTCGGCATTCATACCCTCTAGCAGTTTGAAAACTGGTGTGCCTGATATTCCCCAAAATAGTGGCTCGGAATTTCTCCACAATTTAAGTCCTTGTTGAATAGAATTTTGACTAGACTCTGGGGGGAGATGGAGCCACTCTACAAAATCCTTTAAACTCCATTAAGACTCTCATATCTTGCATTATATTATTTGCATGACATTTTAGTGACTTTTTTTAAAAATTTTCTCCATAATGATTTTTAATACCATTGATTGAATGTCAACTCAATGCCATACATTATAATAGGTGTTAAACATTCATAATCTTATTTTATCCTTAGAGGAACCCATCAAATGGGTATTTTTATTCCCATTTGGCAGATGGAGAAACTTAGTCTCAAGGAGTCTAAGTCATTTGCCCAAGTTCAGGTTATTTGTTAGGGACAGAGCTGGATTCAAAGAACCATTTGACTCCTAAGCCCCAGGACTTTCTCATGTGCCATGATGCTCTCTGTTCTAGAGAAATAAGTGCAATCTTGGGTTCTCATATTCCATCCCTAGACTATGCTCATCCTCACCTGATAAAATCCTACCCATCCTTCAAAATTTACCTTAACCCCAACCTCTTTTATAACAATAATATTAGCAGATGTTCATTAAGTACTTATTATATCCAAGCACTATTATAAATGCTTTACATGCATTATCTCATTTAATACTTACAGCATCCCTATGAGATGGGTACTATTATTATACTCATTTTACAGATGCGAAAACTGAGGCCCAACTGAGATAAGTGATTTTTTGCCTTTTCAGTTCTTCACACTAGCATGTGGCTTCTGCCTCCCTCCTCCATGCCTCCAAGGCCCTCTATAGTTCTTTGTGGCCCTTCTCTGCCTTGTATTACTTATGCATTAATTTACTCATCTGTGTTCCCACTCCTTGAGCACAGAGACATGCTTGTATTATGGTTTGTGCTAACCATCTGGCTCCATCCTCCGCCCCTGTTAGACATGCCAGAATTATTTATTTAATTGAATGAGACAGTCACATGTATTGCTGAGCTGGATATAAGTAGTCAAAATTAAAAGAGTGTTCCATTGGAAGAGGAATTTGAGTGTTGCTGAAATTCTCAAAGATTTTCCATTCATGAATCCTTTCTGGAGCGTTGGCCAAGAACCATGATAATCATCATAAAAACACGTACTCCTGAAATGGAATTTGTGGTAGAACTTTGGGAAGAGGGTATCAAGTCAAGTGCCTTTTTCCTACTGAATCATTTAAAGGGTTGCCAGATTAGGAGTCCTGAATACTGAAGAATATTAGGAGCCTCTTTTCTTCGTTTATTGTATTGATTTTCCAGACGCTTTAGTGTTAAACCATGCCAGAAGTGTTGCAGAGATGAATCACTATTATCCAAAGGCCGCCAGCTTCTTTTCCTTCTGACAGAAGGATAATTCCACGTGGATCAAATAAATACAGATGTGTAGTAATTAGTTCTATTCCCAGTGAGCCTATTTCCAACACACTAAAGATGTGAGCGATTATGGAGCCTCACCCCAACAGCTTTTATCATTTTAAACTGCTAAACAACAGGATAGGTCATAACCCAGCCTGCTATTAATAATGCATTTATTGTGTGCAACATTATAGATTAGGTATATGGACAAGAAAAAGAACACCTTTTAACAAGAATATTATGATCTCCCCCCAGAAGCAGCATATGTGCCTGGCTACTCACCTGATGTACAGTCCCAAGGCAATCAAAAGAATAAAAAATCTCATCCAAGGGAAAGAAGCCTACATTGTCAGCGGGTTCCTCCACAGAGATGATTTGGCCGTGGCAGATATGTTAAACATACCCATCCTAGGCCCAGAGCCTGAACTAGCTCATTTCTATAGCACCAAGTCTGGAAGCAAACGGGTCTTTGAGAATGCAGATGTGCCAGTCCCTCCTGGAATATATAACATCTATAGTCATCAGCAGGTAAGCAGGGTGGATAAGTGAGGTTCTGTTTAAATATTTCACACTCTCTTGACCTTGTAGGAACTTTTTAGGTCTTCTGGAGTCAGCCCTATCCAATGAAGAATATTATGGAATACTTGAGTTGATTTGATGGGATCTGCTTTAGCCCTCGGGCTTTCCTGGTGGTTCAGTGGTAAAGAATCCACTTGTCAGTGCAGGAGACACAAGAGGTGCGGGTTCAATCCCTGTGTCGGGAAGATCCCCTGGAATAGGAAATAGAAATAGCAACCCACTTTAGTATTCTTCCCTGGAAAATCCCATGGACAGAGGAGCCTGGCGGGTTATAGTTCATGAGGTCGCAAAAGTGTTGGACGTGACTGAGCACAACACTCTTTAGGCCTTCGGTGTTTCAAAGTATCTTCCTATGGGCCTTACAGAAATTTTCATTCTCAAAGTATTTATTCATTTGGATTAAGGAACTGAAGGCTCTACTCATGTATTAATCTGCTATCAATATTTATTGCCTTAATATGGATTAGTTCATCATCATATTAGTTAGCTAGTTATTTTAGTAGGACCCTAAGAAATGTGAGAGTCAGTTTGGGCTAAAAGGAGCAGGTTTGGAGAGCTCTAGGGAGTCATATTGCAAAGGGCATGTGTCAGACTACAGACATCCATGGCTCTACCAAAAAAACACCCCCAAATCCTAGCTATTCAGTAAGTGGCCATAAAGAAAGGGGGAAAACCCCAGTAAGGGGAAGTGAAATGGCTCCAGGAGGAAAACTCTGCTTCTGAATTTGCCTTGGTCAGAGTCTATGGCTGTGCATTCTTCCAGAAGACAGTTAGGGCCCTAATATCTGAAGAACCATAATATTAGTCACTACAAAATTACCCACTAGAGAACTAGAAATTAGCCACTCCCAGTTTGCTCTGGCAGGTGTTCTCACATTTAACTGCTATCTTTTTTTACAATAAAGAAACTAAAAGACAAATGGTTGTTAACATTTCCTAAGCTCCGTTTCATTCCATCTCTTAACCATTCCTCTGAGCCAGTCACAAGTGATTTGGGGCACCTACTTCTGGGGAAACTAAAAAACTGTACAAAATGAGGGTGTTTGTGAGGGACAGTATTTAGGGGTCATGCTGCTTCTCTCAGCTGCCTGATCCTGATGCTCTGCACCTCATAGCTGCTGAGCCCCCAAGTCAAGTCTTTCAACAGATCATACTTTTCAGAGACTAACTGGCAATTATTAAATTGCCCCCAGATTGTTTCAGTCTTGCTAGATAGGATGTTCATGGGCAATACATGGGCTCATGAAGGAAGTCTATGGAAAACAGTGTGGAGATTTCTTAAAAAGCTGGAAATAGAACTGCCATATGACCCAGCAATCCCACTTCTGGGCATACACACCGAGGAAACCAGATCTGAAAGAGACACGTGTACCCCAATGTTCATCGCAGCACTGTTTATAATAGCCAGGACATGGAAGCAACCTAGATGCCCATCAGCAGACGAATGGATGAGGAAGCTGTGGTACATATACACCATGGAATATTACTCAGCCATTAAAAAGAATTCATTTGAATCAGTTCTAATGAGATGGATGAAACTGGAGCCCATTATACAGAGCGAAGTAAGCCAGAAAGATAAAGACCATTACAGTATACTAACACATATATATGGAATTTAGAAAGATGGTAACGATAACCCTATGTGCAAAACAGAAAAAGAGACTCCGATGTATAGAACAGACTTGTGGACTCTGGGAGAAGGCGAGGGTGGGATGTTTCAAGAGAACAGCATCGAAACACGTATATTATCTAGGGTGAAACAGATCACCAGCCCAGGTTGGGTGCATGAGACAAGTGCTCGGGCCTGGTGCACTGGGAAGACCCAGAGGGATCGGGTGGAGAGGGAGGTGGGAGGGGGAACCGGGATGGGGAATACATGTAAAAAAAAAATAAATAAAATAAAGAGGGCAGTGTAGAAAAGGCACAGGCTATCTTAATAGGATCAGAAGAGAGAGGCTTCTCCTGACTTGATGTGTCCCTTCCGTTACCATTGACCTCCACTGAAATTTGAAGGTAACAGAGTAGATTGCTTAACTCTGCTTCCCTGTAGAATACTAGGCTGATAGACATAATACAAGTGAAATGCATTTTTAAGTGATACAATTTCATACATGTATATTACATTAAACAGTCCTCAAAACCTTAGAATGTATGTGCAGTATTTCAACAAAGGGAACTATAAGCAAGGTGAAAAGACAGCCCTCAGAATGGGAGAAAATAATAGCAAACCAAGCAACAGACAAAGGATTAATCTCAAAAGTATACAAGCAACTCCTGCAGCTCAATTCCAGAAAAATAAATGACCCAATCAAAAAATGGGCCAAAGAACTAAACAGACATTTCTCCAAAGAAGACATACAGACGGCTAACAAACACATGAAAAGATGCTCAACATCACTCATTATCAGAGAAATGCAAACCAAAACCACAATGAGGTACCATTACACGCCAGTCAGGATGGCTGCTATCCAAAAGTCTACAAGCAATAAATGCTGGAGAGGGTGTGGAGAAAAGGGAACCCTCCTACACTGTTGGTGGGAATGCAAACTAGTACAGCCACTATGGAGAACAGTGTGGAGATTCCTTTAAAAACTGGAAACAGAACTGCCATATGACCCAGCAATCCCACTCCTGGGCATACACACCGAGGAAACTAGATCTGAAAGAGACACGTGTACCCCAGTGTTCATCGCAGCACTGTTTATAATTGCCAGGACATGGAAGCAACCTAGATGCCCATCAGCAGATGAATGGATAAGGAAGCTATGATACATATACACAATGGAATATTACTCAGCGATTAAAAATAACTCATTTGAAGCAGTTCTAATGAGACGGATGAAACTGGAACCCATTATACAGAGTGAAGTAAGCCAGAAAGAGAAAGACCAATACAGTATACTAACACATGTATATGGAATTTAAAAAGATGGTAACGATAACCCTATATGCAAAACAGAAAAAGAGACACAGATGTACAGAACAGATTTTGAGACTCTGGGATAAGGCGAGGGTGGGATGTTCTGAGAGAATAGCATTGAAACAAGTATACTATCAAGGGTGAAACAGATAGCCAGCCCAGGTTGGATGCATGAGACAAGTGCTCAGGGCTGGTGCACTGGGAAGACCCAGAGGGATGGGATGGAGAGGGAGGTGGGAGGGGGGATCGGGATGGGGAACACATGTAAATCCATGGCTGATTCATGTCAATGTATGGCAAAAACCACTACAATATTGTAAAGTAATTAGCCTTCAACTAATTAAAATAAATGATAAAAAAAGAATGTATGTGCAGTATTTGAGTCTTGCTTTTGTCCCCATTGATGAGAACTCAGACAGTCTTTGCTATAAAATATTTTAGAACTTTATATGTTAATTGTGGTTAAAGATGCAGGAATCTTTAATGCAGTAAAGCCTCACTCTAATGCTGATATTCAGAAGTAGGATAAAAACCTCTCCTCAAAGATAAATTGGATTTAAAGGGTGTCATTTCACCTATGGTGTGTGCAAATTGTATCACAATAAACTAAGTCATAACTGAGGTCTGCACTACTTATTTGGAAACCATATGTCTGAAGTCAACAAGAATTGAAGCACTCCATTGAGATTTTTCCAGATAATGCCTATCCTACCTAATCTATCTGAACATGTCAGCATTTTGAATTTGCAGATGGTAATGAATCAGTAACACTGACTTTTTACCAATGTGCATCATAAACTTAAAGCTGGTGAAAGAAAGCTGTGATTATTTTAATTTAGATTAATAAATTTTCCTAGCTATCAGTTGGATTTTAGCAGTAGACATTTTTCTATTTCTGCCCTACACCAGTATAAAATGTGTGGCAATTTAAAAATATATTACATGTTTTGAATAGATAGACTCAAATAGAAAATGATAAATGTTTGGCAATAGCATAAAGTCATTTGCTTTATGATTAAGTAATTTATTTTATTTTTTAAGTCCAGCTTGAGCACAGTGAGTATTTCCTGTTTTGATCCATAAAGTAACCAGGCAACTTCTCTTTCTGGCATGTGTTCCATATGAAATATTGACAGCTTTGGTTAAATAATCAAAAATGGCAATGCTATTTTAAAGCACTGTTCAATTTTCACTTAAAGGTAGCACATAATTCTTTCCAGTGGTATGGTCTTTACAATACTATTGATCCTTTTCATTACTGTAGGGAATCCATCACCAGACACCCATTTATAGGATTCTCAGAAGCAACAAATAATAGTATTTGGAAGAAGCAGATAATAATTCTGTTAGTAGCTGAAATTTCCAAATATACAATATATCCAAGCATACAATGAAAAAGACTGTGCCAGAATATCTTTCCTTATACTGGCAAAAGAATCTTATTGTATATTAACAGGCCAAGAACTATTTCTCCTTCTGCAACATATGACCATAATGGAATCTATCTTCTCAACACAACTTTAGAGAAAGAAGGGATGTAACTTTGAAAGACACATTTTTAAAAACCTTCCTAGGCTATGCTCATAGCCATATGGTATGTAGACCAGAGTACTTGTCATTTAAACACCCAAATTATCCCTTGACACTACTTGGTAATTAGGGAGTTAAGACAATTTCATTTTCACCCTAATGGAATACCCTATGGTTGCATGGGGCTTCCAGGGATCCCAAGTATGTCTGTTTTAGTATCACTTCAACACTGCTGTATACTGTAGCATCCCCAGGAAGATTTGCTGGAAAGACACAACTCAAGAGAACAGATTGTGCCTTTAATCAAAATAATTTTAATCTTCCAGTTCTAGATTTCAACAGATTTTTTTCCAGAATTATGAGTCATCTCACGCTCTGTAGTTTAAAAAAATCCATTTGGTGAACAAAACTCATCAAAATAGAAGAGAACAGTGTTGCAGAAGCCTCCTCAAGCACAGACCATGGCCAAGAGTAGCATGGGGCAGGCTCAGGAGAGGGAACACTTAATATTGTTTCTTTCTATATAGATTAGAGAGTCTGATGAAGAAGATCAAACAAAAAAATCACTCTGTGGTCTAATGAGTTATTTTTCACCAAGGCTCTACTAGAACAGTATTACTTATAATCAAGCAATCTTGCTATAGACTTTTTCTGATTCAGACTTATCCAAATGGCTTATTGACTGTAAAGGAAGCTGCTTCTCTTGCTCCTGACTTCCTTCTCCACGTCACCCTTCTCCTCCGCCTCTCTGTAGCTTGAGCTGGGTCGCACCGTGGAGAAGAGATGGGCTTAGGTACTGACTCAGAGCAGCCTGGGTGGAGCCCCTGTTCTGACTCTCTGTGTTGTGTGATCGTGGGCAAGTTATTTAAATTACCTGAGTCTCAGTTATTTATACATAAAATATAACTAAAAATGGTGCCTATTTCATAGGTTTTTGTGAGTGTTCAATGAGAAGATTTGTGTAAAGAGCTATGCCAAAGGCCTAGGTCCTACTGAGAGTTCAGTGACGTTAAATATTACAGTTATTATTATTATTGTGATATTCGTGCTTGCATGTCTACCCCTGAAACATTCATGTGGCTGAGCCCAGTTCTTGAGAAAAGTTTCAAATAAGATGTAGGAGAGATATGTATTCCAATAAAGTTGCTTTCACAAGTGTTTTACCTCCTTTATCTGTCTTGTTCATGTAATACATATAACACATTTGGTCAGTTGACTGGCCAAACAAATGTATTTCATGTATATTAATGAGAAAAAATTAAGTATTTTATAGATTATAACATTTAAAAGCTCAGCAAAGCTCCAAACAGTTTAAGTTTTCAAGACTATAACTTTTTATAGTCTTGAAACTATAAAAGAATCATTTGAAGAATCAATAAGTAAACACATTATTCTCTGAAAAAGGAAGAGAACAATATTAAGATTCAATTACAGATATTCAGATTTTTTCTTTTGCCTTCAAAAGTCAGCAAGTGATAATTTCACAATTTCTCATAAATAAGATTATACTTTTAAACATGTCTTTGGTCCCAATGGTTGGTGGTTTCTTTATACCATATTCATGTATGGGGTTAATCAAAGAGTTCATTTGCATTTTGCATAACAGCTTATGGAAAACCCTGAATGAACTTTTTGGCCAACCCAAACACACACACACACATACACATATCACTTAAAACTTCTAATCTGTGTTAATAACTAGAAGATAACTGAATGAACAGACTACTTGAAATAAAGACATATGAGAAGTACTACAGCTAAGTTAATGCAATAAGAAGGAATCCAGGGAATTAAATGTTGCCATATCTTTGGCCCGGCAGATAATAGAACAGGTGAGTCAGCTGGTCACTGATCACCTGGAAATCCAACGCTGGCTCTTTAAAACAGACTATGAGTTTGGAGGAAATGGGACTGCGTTTTGTGACATTCCCTCCCACCTAAAGTGCTACAAGTGGATCCAAAGGGAGAGTCAGAAATACAGTCGCGAAGACTGGAGAAAGAAATGGGCACAAGTGAGTATTCAATGGTAACATAAACCCAAAGTGTCTGCGAACAGATAGGAGAGAAAGCAAAAGGCTTAGCTAGGAGATACGGCACTTTCTTGTAGACTCAGCTGAGTTACCTCCCAGCAGTTGAGACCTTAGGCAATTTTTTACTCTCCTGGGCCTTAGCTTTTATGTACAAAATGAATGAGGTTCCTTCTTGGGTCCCTAAAAATCCTCAAATTGGTTATGCTAATAATTAGGAAGTAGTGTTTTTATGATATTCAAATAACATTTCAAATCTAATCATTTGCTCTAAGCATATGATTCTAGATCATATGCTTCTACCAACTGTTGTTATTAAGCTAGTTGTATTTTATTGTGAGAGGGAAATTCTATTAGTGAATGCTTGTCACCTGGAAGCTAATGTTTAATAGCATTCTGTCAGCAGTCATACGTTTTTGAAGACAATTCAAGGAAATTTATGAAACTGCTGGTCCCTGTGAGATGTTGAGAAAATAATACATTCCAGCAAGAAAATCTCCAGGCAAGAACTGAATAATAGGTAAAAACTCTTAATGTATAAGTGATGTATATAGATTTTTCCATGTATATTTGTAGGAGGATGAATTGTACAACTTCTTAGTCTGTTTCAAAGTTGCTTAATAATTAGTTTTATATGGCTTCATATATGAATTAAACCCACCGTTCTGAAAACGGCACCATTTTGCATTCAGAGACTTCGACTTGCTGACTTCACTTAATCCCAAATCTCTGTTTTTCACTCCTGATGAAAGCATAACTGATGAGGAAAATTCAGGCACAAATTTTCCATGAACTGATTCCTTCCCCGCCCACTTCTGTAGTGGTGGCTGTGCAGTGATTTGCACCTGCTTTGAGCATCCCACTACAGAAGTAGATGAATCAAGACACAAGTGATAGAAAGGGAGGGGCACACAGAGAGAATCACATTATTCTTGTGAAAATGGAATGATGAATAAATCTAGAGAACAGTCAGAAGAGAGAGTTCCCTTTGATAAATGTTAGTTCTCCTCATGATCTATTCTGGGCTTTTCTTCCTCCTCCATCAGCGGATGGACTTAATGCAGTACCTGTCATGGCCAGCTTTTTACATATTATTTAAAGGATACCAAAGTGAATTACTCTCCTAAGAAAAAAATAAAACAAGGAAAGGAAAATGTATTTAATTTTGAGGCCCATAGAGGTTGCTCTTGTGTTCTCCTTGGACTGGGTTTTATTTCATCTTGTATTTAAAAAGTTTTTTAAGCAAAACTATTGAGATTAAACCATGAAAAGTATGACTTTTTTTAATCTAAAAAATTGAAATGTTTGTGTGCTTGTGTGCTAAGTTGCTTTAGTCATGTCTGACTCTTAGCGACCCCATGGACTATAGCCCCCCAAGCTCCTCTGTCCATGGAATTCTCCAGGCAAGAATACTGGAGTAGGTTGCCATGCCCTCCTCCAGAGGATCTTCCTGACCCAGGGATCAAACCCAAGTCTCTTTCCTCTCCTGTACTGGGAGGCAGGTTCTTTACCACTAGCACTACCTGGGAAGCCCCAGTGTTAATGTACCAAGTATTTGCTTGCCTCAGTATTTAAAATCAATAATTTTTATAGAATTCTCCTGATACTAGACTATGATAAATTTGAAATGTTTAAGTTTTAAAAATATTTAACATATTGACATATAGCTGAATTGCATTTAGAAAGCTGAATATATATTAATTTCAAATATTTTAAACTCTACCATTTTAAATTACCACCAATTACATTTGGCATTATTGTTAATGTTGTCAAATGTGACAATTATGAATAATTAATGATCTGTCTAAATTTTTTTAACTTAAGGGAAAATAATTATTATGAAATCTTTTTACATTCTGAGATCCGTGCTTGACCATGGTGTTGTTAAAAGCCAAAGTAAAAAATAAAGTACTTCTGAAGAGCTTTTTTTTGGTAGGAGACTGTTGACATTCTTTTGCCTTCAAAGTGAAATTGTATTCAGAGTGGCAGTGAACTGCAATCTCCACTGAGTGTAGCTATTGAGAATTTAGGATTAGAATTATGCTTTGTTCCAGAAGACCATCATAATGGTGCACATTTAGACATCAAAGCATTACTTTATGAGCACAGGCATGTTTTAATGTCCTATTACAGTTTGTAGACCTGTTTCTTTTGATAATGAAGATGTTGTGTCATCAAGCCTAGCCTGGCACATGCAAAACATATGCTGGCAGGTTATTAAAAATTTCAGCTTCTTGATGAAAGACTATCCTGCAGGCTAAGAGTCCAGAGAAAGACTCCATTCTGGGAGAATTATTAGAAATGAGAATATGACTGTAAGCACTAAATTATGTTAATACTTACAAATAGCATCATTTGCATAGCAGTTTATGACACGATACCATGATTTTTCTCATTGGTATGTTGTAGGCAACAGATTAAAAACACTGCTGTTTATAGGGCTTTGAACTATTTTGAGATTCTCTTGTGTCTTATGCAGGTACTGGTTTTAGGTGTAGTCATGATTCAGTGTGGACTCAAGGATCTATAAGGATCATCTTTTTTTCTACCTATCTAATTGAGAGCCAGAGTTATTTGGTTGCAGCTGAGACTTGAAACAAAGTCGTGAAATCAACAAATGATAAAACACTGAAGTCACATTTTAAAAATCTGTGTTGACATGTAAGTGATTTTAGGAGAAGCAGAATGTTACATAATAGCCATAATAAAAACAGCACAACTCTCATTTTTTTTCATGGTGTCTTGGTACCAACCTTACTCTCTTCATCCTGAAAGTGAAACTTAGTGATTAACACTAAGTTGTGTCCGACTCTGCAGTCCCACCAGGCTCCTGTGTCCATGGGATTCTCCAGGCAAGAATACTGGAGTAGGTTGCCATTTCCTTCTCCAGAGGACCTTCCCGACCCAGGGATCAAACTGGGTCTCCTGCATTGCAGGCAGATTGTTTACCGTCTGTGCCTATCCTGCCAGCTAACAAAATCTACTTCCCCCAACAGGTTCCAATAAACTCACTCACTTAAATACTCAATGTTTATTAAATTTCAGTGAATCTACACATGTGTGCATGCTCCAAAGTTGCCACTCCAGAGACAAGAGAATTTATTTTCATTTAGTAGGAATAAAGGCTTAAGCAAAGACACACCTGTAGGGGAAAAATCCTTCTGGCACTCTCACCTAAGACAGTGCAGGGAGACCCAGGTAGACATTTGTTGTGGTACTAGTCCTTCTTGTGCCGTTTCCTTTCTGTTTATATAGGGAAACTTCTCTCCGTCACTCCTGGAAAACTGGCTTGTTAGTAGTGACACCTGGTGACACTGCTTTAGAAAAGTAGTTGCCAGAATGCTGGCCTGGACATGAGATTTAGCATTTTGTAGATCCCCGCGAATGGGCTTCCCTGGTAATTCAGCTGGTAAAGAATACACCTGCAATGCAGGAGACCCTGGTTCGATCGCTGGGTCAGGAAGATCCCCCAGAGAAGGGATAGGCTACCCATTCCAGTATTGTTGGGTTTTTCTGGTGGCTCAGACAGTAAAGAAACCACTCGCAATGCAGGAGACCTGGATTTGATCCCTGGGTTGGGAAGATCCTCTGGAAGAGGGCATGGCAACCCACTCCAGTATTCTTGTCTGGAGAATCCCCATAGACCGAGGAGCCTGGCAGGCTACTGTCCTTGAGGTCGCAAAAAGTTAGACACAACTAGCGACTAAGCACACAGACCCATGAATGGTCTTCCCAGGTAGAACTAGTGATAAAGAACCCACCTCCCAATGCAGGATAGGCGAGAGACGTGGGTTTGATCCCTGGTTCAGGAAGATCCCCCAGAGGAGGGCATGGCAACCCACTCTAGTATTCTTGCCCGGGAAATCCCAGGGACAGAGGAGCCTGGAGGGCTACAGTCCATGGGGTTGCAAAGAGTTGGACACAACTGAAGCTACTTAGCACACATGCACACAGACCCATGAATACAGTATACACATGCACACAGACTCATGCATGAATACACAAGGAAATGTTTTGACATTTCCTTGTACCCTTGCACATTTGAATCTGCGGATGTGGAACCCACATACCAAGGGCGAGCAATGCCATTTTATATATGGGACTTGAGGATTCTTGGACTTGTTATCATGGGAGTCCTACCATCAACCCCCCTTGATGGCAAGGGACAACTGGGTGCCAGACATTTCTGCACTTTATTTGTTTTTTGTGTGTGTTTTTTTTTCCATTTATTTTTATTAGTTGGAGGCTAATTACTTTACATCATTGCAGTGGTTTCTGTCATACATTGAAATGAATTAGCCATGGATTTACATGTATTCCCCATCCCGGTCCCCCCTCCCACCTCCCTCTCCACCCGATCCCTCTGGGTCTTCCCAGTGCACCAGGCCCGAGCACTTGTCTCATGCACCCAACCTGGGCTGGTGATCTGTTTCACCCTAGATAATATACATGTTTCGATGCTGTTCTCTTGAAACATCCCACCCTCGCCATCTCCCAGAGTCCACAAGTCTGTTCTATACATAGGAGTCTCTTTTTCTGTTTTGCACATAGGGTTATCGTTACCATCTTTCTAAATTCCATATATATGTGTTAGTATACTGTAATGGTCTTTATCTTTCTGGCTTACTTCGCTCTGTATAATGGGCTCCAGTTTCATCCATCTCATTAGAACTGATTCAAATGAATTCTTTTTAATGGCTGAGTAACATTCCATGGTGTATATGTACCACAGCTTCCTTATCCATTTGTCTGCTGATGGACATCTAGGTTGCTTCCATGTCCTGGCTATTATAAACAGTCTGCACTTTATTTGAATTAACTCATTCCATCTCAGAAAACCTCTGAAGTTTTTGCTCATTTACTTCCACACCACTTTGATAAGGAAGGTATTGTTTCTATTTACAAATGGAGAGAGAGATTCCTTGGAAGTGAAGTGACTTGCCCAAGTTCACATAGCTAGTCAACGATCTGCATCTACCTTGGAA